CACACACACCCATTTTCATAACAGTTTAAATTCTGGGATTACACTGGGACTTCTTTTGCCTTTTTTAGCAGAATATCCGTCAATCCATCCGCATCTCTGTCCCATGACTCAGGGGCACTCTCTCTGCTTTGATTCTCCTCCTTTGGAAGAAACTATTTTGAACCTGACCTTTGACCATCTGAGAGTTATTTTGGGTACCTTTTAGGGAAGAATGCCCTTTGCAATAATGTTTCCCATCCCTGATCCAGGGCAGGTGGGTGGACCCAGGCTCCCTTTGCACACCAAGCAGCCACTTCTAAGCCATATTGACTGTTTTGCAGAAGGAATGTGTGTGTGTGGCCTCAGGAGGGGAGGGCCAGCAGGAGGGTTGGGGATCTTTACCCACTATTCTCTGGAAGGCATTTCCCATTGCACCTCCTCCTATAAGGCCCAGCCCCTCTCCCCTGCCCCAGTGTGGGAGGGTACTCTGGAGTGAGCAGCACCTCTGTAGGGGGAGCCTGTAGATGAGGACTCAGAGAACCACTGGTGACTAGACCTATGCCTCCAGGCCTTTGGTCCAAGCCAGGTTTCCCTGATTCCCCAGAGTCAGGAGCACAAGTGGAGTCTGACCTGGTGATACTATTTCTGATGACCTCGTCAAAAAATAAACAATTCCCAGTGTTCCAGGTGAGGCTTTGAAAAGCCTTCCAAACAGCTCTGTTGCCCCTAGCAATCCTGCCAACAGGCACTGCCACACAAGAGATGTGGCTGGCCTAGAATGGCCTGTTGCCATAGCAACTGGAGGCAAAGGGGCAGTGAACAGAATAACAACAGCAACAATGCCCTTGCCACCAACCTCCTCCCCTGAGCACCAGGCTGGTGATGGCCGCTGGACTCTGAGACGGAGAGCCAATTCACTTTCAAGTGTTCACCAACCACTGACGTGTTTTTATTTCCTTCTCTATGATTTTAAGATGTGTTTTTCTGCATTCTGTATAGAAACATATCAAACTAAATAAAAGCAGTGTCTTTATTATAAAAATCTGCTGCCTCTGAATGTCTCTTTCCTTGGCCTCTATATGAATTTCAGGATATAAGCCGCAAAGGCTGGAGTTCATGTGACAGAAGCAAGAAGGGTTCCAGCTAAATCCAGTTTGAGGTGGCTTTTAAGTAGCTGGCCTGATGGCCTTCACACAGTTTTATCATTTCTGCATCCTGGGAAAGTTTGGGGTATGCCCAGAAGCTCTGCCAATCTATCAGTACCCCCCATAGTGCTTCTTTTGCCTGTGAGACATGTGTCATCTTTTTCATCAGTAAGATGAGCTATTCTGGGCAGGATAGTGGAACAGACCCTATCACAGGATGCTTCGCCCAGAGTGGGTAAGCTCCTGGGCAGGAGTATTACATTTTTAGCCTCCATGAAGAGGGGAACCTGGAGAAGCTTGTGGTTGATGCTCCACCCCAGTTTCTACTCTGCTGACTATGAGCTTGGAACCAGGCAGTCTATGGCAGGTTTGGTCTTGAGGCTGGGAGAAGAGGAAAATGGTTTCTGATGCTGCCCTGGGTAGGTCTATGGATTCCAGGGAGCTGCCTTGCTTGTGATGGTCAGCGCAGCTGACATGACACAGTGCCCAGAAAGGGACTGGTAGATTGCCTTGGGACACTGCCTTGGAGTTGAGAGGCAAGGAAAGCAGCACCTGTGTCTAAAGAGGCAGAATGGTCACAGAGCAATTGGTTCCTCTATTGGCCTCACCTCTACCCCCTTCCCTGGTTCTTAACATCTGCCCCCGTAGGCTGTCTCCTCAGCTTACAACCATCAAGACCTACAGCAGAGACTAGTCCCTACAGCTAAAGCCTGAATGCCAGAAGGGGGAGTGGTTGAAGGTCAAATTACTTGTGAAACTAGGACTTGAGTGTATACCATGTTGATGTTGAGTGCCGTTGTGTTGGTTCCAACTCATAGTGACTCTGTATAGTATTTCCCAGGAGCAGCTGGTGAGTTTGAACTGCTGGCCTTGTGGTTCAAACTGACCTTGTGGTCCAGTGTTTTATCCCACAGCACTAAACTCTGGCGCTGTGGTTTAATGCGCCAGACTGCAGAGCCTTTTGAACTCCAAAGTCGGCAGTTCAAGCTCACCAGCTGCTCTCAGAAACCCTATACAGAATCGCTATGGGTCGGAACTGACTCGATGGCACTTAACAACAACAAAAACAACAACTACACAATATTGCCAGGTAAAGCTATCCCTAGGCTGTTCATCTAGGTTTCATGACAGGAGCCCAGGAAATGACCCTAACTTTCAGCTTCTCCTTGTTTTCTTGGCTTCAGGAAGCTGTGCTTGTAATGAAAAGCTATTGGATCATGAGTAAGCTTACAGTTCTGCCTGAACTAGAGTGAATGGATCTTTGGTCTCTGCAGAGAACAGTTATATCAGCAGGGCAGAAAGAAAAACCTCTGCCGCACCTTGCACTTCTTTGAGGAGACTTCTATGGCATGGCAAACCCCTACCCAACACTCCTGCCAAATCCTGTGATCTGTTGGTGAGAGGGTGGAGGCGAGGTGAGTGTGAACTGCTTTTGAATTGGAGAAGCTTCTTGTTGTTATGTGCCATCGAGTCGATTCCCACTCATTGGGACCCTGTATAGGGTTTCTGAGGAGCGGCTGGTGAACTTGAACCGCCGACCTTGCAGTTAAAACGGCATTGCAGTCTGGCGCATTAACCCATAGTGCCACACCAGGAGAAGTTTGTAGAGGAAAGGAAAAGGAAGGGATAAGATGGGGGTCTACAGGGCTATTGTTAAGTGATGTCAAGTTGATTTCAACTCATAAGTACCATATACTGGGTTCCCAAGGAATAACTGGTGGACTTGAACAATCACCTTTGTGATTAATTTTCCACATTAGGATTATTTGTTGTTAAGTGACATCATTGTCAAGTCAGTTACAACTCAGTACAGGGTTTCTGAGGAGCAGCTGGTGGATTTGAAATGTCTACCTTGCAGTTCAAACCAACCTTGTGGTCCAGTGCTTATCCTACAGCACTGGCGCAAATGCTTCAGGGTTTTTTATGATAATAAAACTTTGTTCATCATGCAAAGCAAGCAAATTATTATTTTAAGCCCCAAATGGAGGCTGCTGGATACCATTTCCCAGACAGGGACTGTTGAGGGCCCAGAGGGGAAGACAAAGCAAGAAGTTCAAAGTGGGGGATGTCCATCTTTGGGAGAGATGTACTCCTGCTGGAAGCTTGGTCCCACTACCACAGTCCTGGTGCGGCACTGAGGGTTAATGCACTGGACTGCAAAGTCGGGGTTTCAAGCTTACAGCCGCTCCTCGGAAGTCCTATACACGGTCGCTATGAGCCGGAACCAACACTACAGCACGTAACCACAGCTTTGGTGGAGATCTTGGAGTCTCAACTTGAGTAAAGCAAAATTGATCCGTAGGCTTCTCTATAAGGCTTGGGGCGGGGCGAGGTGTGGGGAAAGCAGCTCTGAACAGAGTAGAGAGACAGGAGACAGTATCCACAAGCTCCCAGCAGGTGGCACCAGAGACTGTTAAGACAGCCAGCCATTCGCAGGCGCAAGGACCTGGATTTTAAGTGGAGATCAGTAACGCCACAGGCGAGGAAAAATGCTGACACAAGAGGTGGCTGCGGACGAGGTAGAGGTTAATACAGGATTACTGGGTCAACCTAGATAAGAGGAACTGAGCCCAGTGGAGATGCAACTAAGGTCTAGGGGACTGGCGAGACAGAGACAGCAGGGGGCTATTGTTAGGCATTGCTTTTGTTGTTAAGTGCTGTAGAGTCGGTTCTGACCCATAACGACTCTGTGTAGGGTTTCTGAAGAGAGACTGGTGAGCTTGAACCGCTGGCCTTCTGGTTCAAATGACTTTACAGTCTGGCGCATTAACTCACAGCACTATATCAGGACTCCAATTGTTAGGCATTAGTTGGTTCTATCTCATAGCAGCCTTATGCACAGCAGAATGAAACACTACCGGTCCTGTGCCATTTTCACAATTGCTGTTAAGCTTGCGCCCGTTGCTGCTGCCACTGTGCCAATCCATCTCCTTGGGGGTCTTCCTCTTTTTCTCTGACCCTCCACTTTACCAAACATGATGCCCTTCTCCAGATATTTTTTCCAGACTGGTCTCCTGATAATATGTTCGAAGTATGAGAGACGAAGTCTGACTTCTAAGGAACTGTACTTTTCCAACACAGATTCATTTGTTTTTCTGGTAGTCCATGGTACTTGCTGTAGTCTTCTCTAACACCATAACTCAAATGCATAAATTGTACCATCTTCCTTATTCGTTGTTGAACTTTGACATGCATATGAGGCTACTGAAAATCCCATGGCTTGAGTCAGGCATACCTTAGTCCACAAACTGACATCTTTGTTCTTGAACACTTTAAAGAGGTCTTGTGCAGCAGATTTGTCCAATGTAATAAGTCATTTGTGTTTTTGCTGCTTCTGTGACTGTTGATAGTGATCCAAGCAAAATGAAGTCTTTGACATCTTCAATATTTTCTCCATTTATCATTTATTGGTCCAGTTGTGAGGATTTTTGTTTTCTCTCCTTGAGGTGCAACCCACACTAAAGGCTGTGGTCTTTGATCTTCATCAGTAAGTATTTAAGTCCTCTCTGTTTTTAGCAAGCAAAGTTATATCATCTGAATATTGCAGATTTATAATGATCCTTCCTCCACTCCTGATGTCATGTTTTTTTTTTCATATAATCCAGCTTCTCGGATTGTTTTCTCTGCATACAGATTAAATAAGTATGGTGAAAGAATACAACCTTGGTGCACACCATTCTTGACTATAAAGCATTTAGTGTCTCCTTGTTCTGTTCCAATG